TATAGTCAATGTGATATTATTTACTCGAGTAAATCGTGGTTACATTTAGATATTGGTCAGGTACTAAAGTGAATAGGGGACGGAGTGGTCTAGCGGTAGACTGCTAACCCGTAAGTCTCGAGTTTGAATCCGGGTTCAAGTCATAGATCGTCCCTGAGTCCACCCAACTCTAATGGGTACCTAACTCACGTTAGGGAAAATAAAGGCGGCTGGGCAAAGTGCTGACCACACTATCCCTTCATATGCCGAGGTCACAGAAACAAGTGAACTCTACTTCACTTGCCCTATAGACTGTCAGGTTTGAAAAGGGAACGAGTTTGTTCAGTTTTCATCTCGTATTATGTACACATGAAATCTGTGCCGTACACATCAAGTCATGTGTGATGTACGCGTACCCACGTCTTTAACTACCAACTATTTGTCTAAGATCTATTTACACCATGTATGTGCACCGGTCATGCACTAGTCTGCACTGGAGTGACATGCGCCTGTTCTGGGTCAGGCTGACCCAACCTTTGAACAGCTAATGCCTGAATTTATAATGTCAGTTTCCACAAATGGTGCCACACGCTTCGTGTTGATTGGAGTCAGTGACTTTATGCAGGGGTGGAGAGAGGCTATTAACACACGGCACCCCAGTGTGTCTATTTACACACTTCCTATTTACCTTTCTACATAAACTTATCTACGAATTTAAAAAGCCACCGAGAACACAACCAAGCAGGTGTAACACGACAGTCGTGTCAATGCCAGTGTAAAGACTGCCGTAACCTCTTGCTCTCAAGTACACCTGCACATTTCATGTCCAATTTTTTTTTCACTTCAAAGTGTTGGGGAAAATCTTAGATCTTTGGGGGAGGGAGGGGGGGGGCGGGCGTTGAAGTTGTTTCATTTCGTAGCTTGCGCGTTGCCTATTAACCCTCCCCACCCTCACGGTTACCCACCTCCCTTTTAGACAAGATATTGAGCATTACTGTGTCATACCTGGAAGGACTAGTGTGAGGGTGGGGGTTTTAGGAAGGCCGGAACGAATGACTCCAATAACACACAGTTCAAGTTCAACTATAATTGTTCTTTATTAAAATGATATATATGTTCAAGTTTCTACCTAACTGATCTATACTGTACTATTTACTACTACTACTGACTGTTCATACCACATGCTACCTACTACTACGACCAATCCTAACACTAACTGTTCTCTACATTCTACAATCTCACACCTTCTACCTCGCTAGCTAATCATGATCTACCTAACTGTCTACATTCCTCGGCCGTCTCTGACCGCTACCTAACAACTCCTGGCCTATCGCTCTACTGCCCCACGCCTCAGTGGTCAGCTGACCGTCCCACGTGACCGGTCAGTCCTGTGCGCCCATTGGTCCTCTCTAACCAACCAACTAGGCCTATAGTCTGTTTCTGCTAACCTGTATCTGCTAAACATGTCTGACGTAATCTTGCGTCATCACATATCTCCCTCCCTTTCTGTAGCTGACAAATTATATTTTTCAGCGTCTGCTACTAATCTAATACATCAACAACTATCTATCTTACTACTCTATTCTATCCCTAACATCAATCATGTAAATCAAATACAAAATGGGACAGCACAGTTTACAAAAACATAAAATCTTGTGTCTGTGTTCCTGAAAAACAAATGTCATTGTTTTCGTTCTTGTGTAGGTATCCTGACGTCTGTGGTGTCTCTGCTTGATAATGTATGTCTATGTTATGGTTTGATTGAATCTAATCATGTGTAACTCAGTTCTGGCTAGGTTGTCGTGTACTGGCCTTGAGCTAATCTTAGTAGAATGTGTAACTGGTTGAACGGGCTCTGCGAGCAGTGTAAGTGTATGTGTAAGTGTTATGTAATTGCTGGCGTTCCTCTGTGGTGGGTGGGTTGTGGCGAGTTTTGATGTAAATTCCCGTGAGGCGGGTGTATGCGTAACTTCGTTGGTCAATGTGATGACGCAACAATCTCATCTCAACGCTGGTTGAGACGTCCACGTAGAGTGGTTATGCGATGAACTGGAGCTGTCTGATGCGGTGGCGAACAACGACGTAACGTTCCGACGCTGGGAACTTGGACGATGTGTCGTCTACCCTTTGTATGTGCCGACGTAGGTGTACGTAGCTGGCGGTCTGTTATTCAACTCCAGTGCGGGGGCGAAGCGGTGGCGATGCGTCCGCTATCTTGACCAGGGCAATTCGCTGTTCGGCAGGGCTGTTCGCTGTCCTGGTAACTCAACGTAATCAGGGCTTCAGGTGGCGGCATTCTTTGAAGTGTCTGCTTCATCTCGTCTCATTCTGAATAAGCGTAGTGGGTCTGAAATTGTATTACGAGACCATGAGCAATGGTTTTACGTGGACTTTTTATTGCCCGCGCAGACAAGTATTCAGACAGAGGTACCTTCCATTAAAAAAAAACTCAATCCCAAATTTATACGTGCTGAACATTTGTCTGGCGGCATAAAAAACATAAAAAAATAACATTACAACATAACCAAATAAAAAAAAATCAGTACACTCTAATCTAACAACAATCTGTAAAGCCTAATAAACTCAATAGACGTAAACACTACTAGAGCTTAGAAATAGCTTCACAAAAAGAATAGACATGTGAGTGTATATAATAATCGTGCCGTTTCAAATAACATTTGAACACGTAATCATATAGTGGAGCAGCTCTCACTATCTGACTTCTGACAAAAACTGGCTGGCTTGACTTAAGGGGGGACCAGTACTTAAAAATCGCATTTTCATTATCTTTTTGCCTATGTATATTTAATAGTCTAATGCAACTCTAACATCCCATCAATTACTTGAACTAATCTACTGTACTCAAAGAATGTGTTGAAATACTTATTTTAGTGTTTGTAGATGCCTAGTTTTGATAACATTTTATTTTTTTCAAAAATAAGCATTGACACTTTTTGGCCTACTCCAAATTTTCAAAAGAAGAAATATTAAAAACTGTCTTACAGAATACAGTGAAACTTGCACAGTCTTTACAATATAGGTTGTTCTGCAAACTGATAGAAGCTTTTAATGATACCTTTCTTTATTTAATTTTTATGGTTGTTTAAAGTTCATGTCTCTCCACAAAGACTCTTTTTTCTAAGTGACTTTGAAAAAAATTCATATTTTAAAAAGTTTGTGTTTAATCTAAACATCCTTCTATCAGTTTGTTCTGTAACCATTTCTAAATGTGGCTTTTACTTTATGTATTATTATGTCTTATACGTACTGAGATTTTTAGCATACAAAATTGCATATAAAAATACATATAAACTCAACTTTTTGGGGTTCAACATTTGTTCTCAACATGTTTGAGATATGTTATCTTTAAAACATATCAATATCTTTGTTTTAGCTATGTAGACAATGTTCAATTGCTGATCTTTAATAAAATAAAAATTAAGTACCGGTCCCCCCTTAATGACTGACTTCACTTTTGACTTCAGTAACTTGACTTATTTCACTTTAACTGACTTCAGTAACTTCACTGACTTCAATTTACGACTTATTTCCCATTCACGATTAACTTTACTTCGACGATTTCAACTACTTCCATTTGCCGACTAACTTGACCTAGACGACAGATTTCACTGACTGACTTCAATTCAACTTAAAAGACTTCACTGACTGACTTAAACTTCGACGACTTAAACGTCTTCACTTTGACTTCAATGACTTTTCCTTGACTTCAACGACTTCAATATAACTTCAAAGACTTTTCTGCCTGCAACATGACTTCAACTACGTCACTAAAGACACTATGACCTCAACTACGACTTCAACAACTTATTGACTGACTTGACTGACTTCAAATGACTTCTTTGACTTCAGTTCAAGTTCAACTATAATTGTTCTTTATTAAAATGATATATATGTTCAAGTTTCTACCTAACTGATCTATACTGTACTATTTACTACTACTACTGACTGTTCATACCACATGCTACCTACTACTACGACCAATCCTAACACTAACTGTTCTCTACATTCTACAATCTCACACCTTCTACCTCGCTAGCTAATCATGATCTACCTAACTGTCTACATTCCTCGGCCGTCTCTGACCGCTACCTAACAACTCCTGGCCTATCGCTCTACTGCCCCACGCCTCAGTGGTCAGCTGACCGTCCCACGTGACCGGTCAGTCCTGTGCGCCCATTGGTCCTCTCTAACCAACCAACTAGGCCTATAGTCTGTTTCTGCTAACCTGTATCTGCTAAACATGTCTGACGTAATCTTGCGTCATCACAACTAGGGATCGTACATAATTGACATCGTTATTTGAGCTCGTGACCACCCCCGTCTTACTGTCGTAGTAACAAGAATCTTTAAATGACGTACCAAGGCCCACCTTCCCTCATCCTCTATAGATGCTTGTTGCCTATCGATTTTTTAAAAATAATTTTAATTAACATACTCAAAATAATTATACATTACATTTCTTGAACTCCCCCCCCCCCCCCCCAAATTGTCCTAACGTTCCCCTCCCCACGTGACGTGATATATTGATGACCCCATTTGTGTAGACCTATTTAATTACAGTCGACACGCCCCCCCCCCCCCCGCACCCACTATCCTGGCTAGCATACAACTAGCATTACAGTTATACAGATCTAGTAGTACAAGTGAAATAGCATCGATCACGCGATATGCCCCGTCGTAATACATTGTTTGTACTGCTAAGCTAACCCTTGAGCTAGTCAATTATCATGCGCAGTCACGTGGGGGGAAATCTGACTTTTGTGTCACGGGTTCTAGTGAGCTTGTTTTTCACGAGGACATGACTTGTTGTACCGTAACAAATCAGTCAAGCTTTAAACATACGCTCTTCTTTTACAACCGGTAGTTTTATTTACGTGTATTCAAGTAGATCAGGTATTTTATGATTATTCTGTGTTACTGTTCATTCGTCATCAAGTATTTAAAATCTAAACCATTATATATTCTGCTAACACGAAAATGAAATAATGTTTATTTTACAGGATTTAATCAGCTGTTCGCTGGCTGACCTTTTGTTGGATCAACATTACCTCCCCTTTGTTTACAATGGCCACACGCAAGAAAGCTTTGCTGTTGTGTTATCAACTACAAACCAATAACCACATTCTAAGGCAAGTCCGTGGAATTTGTTTAGCTGATAGCTCTTGACTAGCAGTGTTTTTAAAATTATTTGTTGCTGACACTTAGTCACTTTAATAATAGATTTAGTTTAGAACTTGTTTTTTAAATGAAATAATTAGGCCTAATAGTTTTATAAAAGTTTACTTCATTAAAAAATTAAAATTAATTATAATTTATAAATATTAAATGTGTCTATATTCTATATGTATGTGTATATATTGTATGTGTGTGTATTTTGTGTATATAGTGCTTAACTTGCAGTTAAAAATTAATTTCTTTACCAGTTTAGTTTGTTTTAGTCCTTGATCTCCTTCTAGGTTTTATCATCTATCTTATTTTATTACAGGCAATCTAAACCAGTTGCCCAAGTGCTAGGGTTTACATGTGCCAGTAAGTTACACAAAATATGATTTGTTACAGCTGTAAAATCTACAGATTTGTTACCAGTATTTACTTTGTAGACCTTGTTTAAAGCCAGTGACTAATCATGTTTAAAAATGTGTTTGGCACAGGTGTGATTTATCTTTAACTAGCCAATGTTCACTAACAAACAAGTGACATGCTGAAATGGGTCAGTGGCCTGCTAGCTGACCTCCTGATCTAGTTTCACTGGTCATATCAAGTGACCTCATACAACCAACCCACAAACATTTTAATCTATTTTTAGTGAAGGTGTATAGCAGTCTGTTAATTTTACATGTATTTATTTTTCAACACCATGATAGTGGTTGTGGCTGTCACTAAACAGAATTTGGGTCAAAATATTCTTACCTGCTTACTTTACTAGTAAAATATAGTTAACGAGCCGACCCGCGGCGTATCATACGCCATTTAGTTGTTTTATTTTCTACTTTTCAGTAATTCATAATTTGTGAATTCGACAGTACCACTGCTGTCACTGAAAATATTTCCTTTAAAACACTATCAGTTAGTCGTTAAGGACGATACCCCCCCCCCCCCCGTGAAAGCAGCCTCCTCTTAGCTACCTCCCCTAAGTTTAAAATCGTTTTAAACTAAATTATCTGCCCCTAATAGCCGTCACTAAACCCGGCTCTACCTACGATTGTAAACATTTAGTGTGAACCACAGCTCACCAGACTTCCTAGAGAGGAAAAGAGGGGATTGCAAGGCGCGCTTACAGCTTGTTTTCTAACGTCTCCAAGAAGAGAATTATATATATAGATTAACTGTCAGATATCTACTGCATAGCTGTAATTTAATTCCTGTAACTGTAAGATTTCCTAATGTTGAGTTTCACAATATCTATAGCATTGCTGTAATTCCTGTAACTTAGTAATGGTGTTTTCACCAAAATATCTACAGTATATCTGTAATGCAATTCCTTTTATTTAGTAACTCTGAAGTTTCACTAAAATTATATTTACAGTGTAGCTGTAATTCCTGTAACTTAGTAATGATGAAGTTTCACCTACCGGCACTTAACATTTATTTTCTCGCCTACTTTTCAGGATCACTATCAACATCACAGACATGTCATGCCAAAGAATATGCCTTTGAGGTTTGGTCTCAGTTTTACTCACATAATAACCTTCATTACACATTTACCATTTGTTGTAATAAAAAAAACATGGTTTTGTAACACACACACAATCCAACCAAAATCTGCTGTTTGCTGTGTACCAAAAAAAAAGCATTTTGATATCTAGTTTAACCCAAGAATTTTAATATCTTGGGGTAGGGGCCAGTGTGGTCAGGTTTGTAAAGCTCATGGTTGTTTAATAAAAAGTCTTAAGTTTAAACCCCTGGTAGATAACTCTCAATAGCTAGGAACAGCAACCCATCTTGGAGAGAGAACTCCAAACATCAAACAAACCCTACATTTGTAGTTTGCTCTTGTATGAACAAAGGCTTAGGAAGCAATCCAGAAAGAATAGCTGGCTATAATCAATGATCTATGTCGCATAACAAGATGACATGCAATACATGTGTTGGAGGAAATTTCTTTCAACATTATAATTAAGAACGAAGAAGACACCCCGTTAAATATCCCCCTTAAGCCTTGGGTTTATTTATGCGAACAACTCCTGTAATAGAAGATTTTACACTAGGCTTATTTCTAACACATTGAAAGAACAGTTCTAATATTCACACACATGCAATGTCTGCTTTGTTTCTGTACAGATGGCATGTTCAAACATCAGATATGGTGAAGGTGTTACTAAGGAAGTTGGTATGGTGAGTTCTTTCATCAATTCAACTAATTAAGGTGTTACCCTAATGGTTATTTATTGCTTTTGTTGCTACTTTTAAGTCCTTAATTATACCATCTTTTAACTACAAGTTTATTAGCCATAATGCTTTGAGAATACAACAATGTATTTACATGTGTATACATTTCTAATTAACATTGATTAATAATTTCATGATAACAATAAAATATTTAAATTATATTTTCAAAATTTTTTTTTTAAAACAGTTCAATAAATGTTTTGCTAAAATTTATTTTGTCCATCATTCAGGACTGTAAAAATCTGGGTGGAAAACATGTTTGTGTGATGACAGATCCTCACTTGGTGAAGCTTCCCCCAGTTAAAGCAACCTTAGAATCTTTGGATAAATATGGAGTCAACTACAAACTGTTTGATAAAGTCAGAGTTGAACCTTCCAATCACAGGTTAGTTTTAGTTTTGATACTTGCCCAAACACAATAATTAACCTGCGGGTGTTATATTTTTTTTATCTTTATCTTTTTGCAGCAGTTAGTGTTTATGAAAAAGCATGAAAAGAAAACTACTAACCCTAACAATTATTTCTCTCCCACTGCTCTGCAAAGTCAGCGAGTTGACATCACACAAAATAACACAATTATTTTCAGTAATTAAACTGTTCTTCTGTAATATCATTCCCAGAAAGCAAGAATCTACATAGTTTTTTATGCCATTTTATTTGTTGTTATAGTTTGCAGTATGTTTTTCCATTTCACAAAACATTAGTTTAATAAAATTGCTGGCAATCACAACACATTTGTAATCTGCTATGGGATAGAATTTTGTGATAAGAGATCAATATCTTAGTATTTTGTTCTGACTCTACCAGCAAAGGAGAAAGTCAAGTTGGATGTTTACACAATATGCTGCACTTGTGCCCAAAGTTCTGACTAATCCTTAAAATTAACTTTTTTATATTTAATTTTTCAAATGTTTCGGGGTTATACTGACATGAATATCAATTGAACTTTCCCCCCAACATTTCAGCCTGAAGGAAGCAATAGATTTCTGTCTGGCCAACCAGTTTGACCTGTTTGTGGCTGTGGGGGGTGGGTCAGTGATGGACACGTGTAAGGCAGCCAACCTGTACAGTAGTAAACCAGAGGCGGAGTTCTTGGATTATGTCAACGCACCCATCGGCAAGGGTTTACCTGTCAAACACGCCTTGAAGCCACTCATAGCAAGTAAGCATATACTGCACTTGTGACAGTAAAATGTATTATTAGCAATTACTAGACATATCAAAGGTTAAAATTTGCTCACCTACCACGTCATATTGCAATAAAATCTCTCAAATAACATTTTCTCTTCCTAACATTTTTATTCTATAAATATAATATGAGCATTGATTTGTGAAATGGGACAAGACTTCAGTTTATCCTTGCATAAGAGTATGACTTGTTAAAGCGAATTTTTAAAATGTTAAAATTTTACGCTATTATCCATTTCATAAACTGAATTTTATTGCTAATTTTTTCATCTAGTTTTATTTGCTGTGTTATAATGAACTTTTTAAAATTTTCTTTTAATTTTAGTTGCCACAACAGCAGGCACTGGGAGTGAAACAACAGGCACTGCAGTGTTTGACTTCAAAGAAATGAAAGCTAAAACAGGTTGTTACATGATATTTTTCAAGTGAAAACTAATTTCATTATTGTATACTTACATCAAGCTTATGTATGGTTTATGATTTGTTGCTTTGATTGAGTGCACCTTGCAGCACATTTTAAAGTTCAGTATTACCCCACTAGGTATATCCAACAGAAGCCTTAGACCAACCCTAGGTATATTAGATCCCCTTCATTTGTTGACCATGCCAGAAAGAGTGGCAGCATACTCAGGAATTGATGTTTTATGGTCAGTTTAGCTGCAGCTTTAATCATTATAATTTCACTAATTTAATCTTCTTTAACATTCATTCTAAAGATCGGGAAAAAAAAATTAAATGTATAGGCCTACATTTTTTTTTAATCTAGAATTATGTTAACAACAGCGTTTAAATTTTCAGTCATGCAATTGAATCTTACACTGCGATGCCTTACACAGAGAGACAGGGTCAAGAAGACCCAAGCCACAGGCCAGCCTACCAAGGCAACAATCCTATTAGTGATATCTGGTCACTACATGCACTTCGTGTTACTGCTAAATACATCAAAAGGTTAGCAGTTTCCTTCTAAATCTTTTTTTTAAATAAAAAATGCATCATTTTTTTATATTTCTAAAATGTAAAAGATTTTTTAATTGGCTGATTTTGAGATATAAAAAGTATTGTTTGTTTTTAAATAATGTTTTTGGGATTGAGTAAACATTTGAAGGATGCTGGGTTAATGTATAACTCATTTAGACATTGGTCTTTAGTCATTGGCAGCATGTATACATCACTTGGACAAAAGTGTTAAAAGAATTAGTGATTTTAATAATTTTAAAAATCGGTCTAAATTTAAATTTTCACTTATGCACTATCTACATTAAAAATAAAAATTTTCTGCCACCCTACACACTCTGAAATACTCACTGTTGCATGTTTGCTTATCAGCTTCCATGAAAAGGTTTTGGCTTTTTGCATGACAAAATGTTTGCATGTTTTGGCATTCAATTAGTTTTTCAATTTTAAACTGTCTTGCCAAAAAAGTCATGAGAATTCTCTGTACACCTAGAAAACAAATTTCTGTCACATAGATGGTTGGTAGCACCTGAAAAAAACAAAATGATCATGTGTTTAGAAAACTATTCTAAATGCCCTGGTTAACAGTTGCAACTTTGTAACAGCTGTTTAAATCCTTTTGTTATGCTACAACGTAAATAAAAAATATCAGAGCCAATTTTTGTTAAGTTATCGGCTTTGTAACTTTTTTTTTTATTACTAAGCATGAAATTATAACAATTTAATGATAAAATTTAGCTAGTATGTTGCACTTTTACACTAAAGCTAAATACTTGCTGGCTGTTTGTATTGACGCTTGCTGAATGTTTTATCAAAACTTGACAATTTGGACACTGTTTTTCTGCTATCACATCTCACCACTGCTATATATTATTTTTCCATTAGCTTAACTAAATAACTTTGTTTAAATAGAGAGTTTAAATTTGTATACTTGAAGACAGAAAAAAAAGTTAAAATCAAGTAAAATTTAAAAATAAAATAAAAAATTGTCAAGTTTTGTGCTTGTGTGTGTACTTAGCATGCTCCTTACCTCCCTTGGCTTCCTACTTCCAGGGCTGTGTACAATGTAGATGACAAAGAGGCCAGGTCTTCCATGTTGTTAGCCAGCTGTTTTGCTGGCATTGGCTTCGGCAATGCCGGCACACATTTATGGTAAGCTGTGATTGGTTAACGACCATAACACAACAAAATTATTGTTTTAAAAAAAACACATTTCAGAGCTGTTGATAATAGCGATGATCTTGAGGCTCGTTCGTTCATGCAGTTGGCTAGCTGTGCAGCTGGGATAGGCTTTGGCAATGCTGGTGTACATTTGTGGTAAGACGTTTCTAGTTTCATCTTTTGTTCACATGTGCTCAAATTCTGAACAATATTGAAACAGTATTACACTTTAGAGACTAGAGTGTAATGTGGAGAGCAAATAAGCTGAAGTGGTCCACTATACAAGTAAATTTTATGACCTTTGAGTTGTTTGAGCTAATGACGATCTATATAGGCCTTTATGGCCATTTTACCCTGATAAGATTAAGTACAGCATTTTTACTATTTTATTTTAAGAAACCATAACTTTCCTAAATATTTTTCAAATTTTTTTAACAGATATTGTCTGTTCCCAGTAAAATGTGAAAACTGCGTAGACAGAAAAATGCGCAACTACAAACCAATTTTACATATACACTTTAAGTGTGTCATAATTCGTGGAAATATGTTTTATTATGCTACAATTTACAGCAAGTGACTCTTTGTTTTTGTCTATAAATGCTAGATTTAAGTTTTAAGGGGAAAAATATCCTTGCACACTTTTTTGTGCCCAGTTTTCCATTTGTATCTTTCTGGTCACTGATATTGTCACATTTGTTTTTAAACTCATGCAGTGTTGTATGCTAAGTGTTTTTTTTCTTCATAAATGTTGTATTTTTTCTTTAAATCATGTTGTCCCATTTATTTATTTTTAGTCATGGTATGTCCTATCCCATTTCTGGCCTTGTAAAGAATTATAAATCCAAAGATTACAGTGATGATCATCCACTAGTGGTTAGTAAAGAAATTTAATGATTCTTTTTTTTTTAATTTGTTAATAAACATTTCAGTGGTGGATAAGCTCAGGATACTTATTTGCTGCTGAAACAAATATGTTGTTCCAAATCTTGTTGCATTATGGAAAATGTGTGACTTATTTAAACTTTGATTTTTAACCATTTCAGCCTCATGGTCTTTCTGTTATAATTACTGCCCCTGCTGTTTTTGAGTACACCGCCCCTGCTTGCCCTGAACGCCATTTACAAGCTGCTGAAGCCTTAGGTATGTGACCTACTAATGTTTTCACAACATATCACGTGGACCATTAAGATCTTTAATTAACCAGTCAGCATCAATTCCATTGTTTTTGTAAGCAGTTTCAAAATGTATTTAATTTCATGCTACTAGTTTTCAAAATAAGTGTTACAGGATTGCTAAGTAATTGTAAGATCCAGACCTATGTCTATTTGAAAATGTCAGTAGAATTTCTTCTGCATGTACTCTAAATGTTTTCTTAACTAATTGGTGATGCTGTATTTTCTCTTAATGTAATCCTCAACAAAGGGGCATTGCTATGTTCTGAATGGTTTTTTCCTCTTTAACAATTAGGTGTTGATATCCGAAATGTAAAGAAAGCTGATGCTGGTAAAGTTCTTAGAGAAGTCTTACTAAAAATAATGAAGGATATTGAATGTCCAGATGGCATTTCATCATTAGGCTACACTAAAGATGATATTCCTGCTTTAGTAAAAGGAACATTACCCCAGGTAAAATACATCAAAACTTTATTTTAAATCAGTTGAAAGTCTACATTTTTTAAGTCCTAAACTTTTTTTATACGTGTAAAATAATAAATCTACTCTGCTTTAATGAAATATATTTTTTCAGCATCGAGTCACCAAACTGTCCCCACGTCCTGCTGGAGCAGAGGAACTTACTGAGCTCTTGACGAAATCTTTAAAGAATTATTAACTGTCATACATTGGTTAAAAATTCTAATTCAGGGAATCGTGTATCCAATTTTACTGTCAAATGTTTGTGGTAAATATTTACTTCCAGATGTCCAAAATAACAAGCTTAAAAGGTTCTGTGGCAGAATCCAATGTATATTGTGGGAGTTACAATGTTTATGTATGTGATAACTGTAGATCTATGTAAATCTCAAAACTTTTGTATCTTGTTTGCATCATGAAATACAGCACCAAAATATTTCTTAGAAGAAAACTTAAAAACTATTTTGTACTCATATTCTGAAAGTTTTTCATTATACATGATTGACTTACTCTTTTGCAATACATACATTATACTTACCCTTTAAAAATGGTATTGTTTCATTAAATGTGATCATTGTATTATAACCAGTATCCAAAATAGATTTTAAAAAATGTAATCAAATTGCACTGTGTTCCTAAAAGATTACAATGAGATTATTTTTTTAAATAATTTTACTCAATGTTCATCTTATCCTATGCACAATGTACATTTTGAAATTTTCTGTAAGTCAGTTTTAAAAATTGTATTTATTATCTATATTTATATTTGTCACTTCTCCTGATATTCTGGTTACATGGTTTTGGTGTTATTTATATTGCCTTCCTTTACATAAACTATAATTTTTCAAAAAATGGTCTATTGCTTTTGTCCCTTAGTGGAATTTGAATAAAATTAAATAGAAATATGATTGCTGTCTGTTTTATTTCTAAGGTATTTGCAAATATTTTTTTCAGACAAAAATATAAAAAAATTAATGGTAGGTAGGAGTGGGGAATTGGAAGAGATATTGACATCTTGCATGGTTTAAATGATTGGCAAAAAATGTGGTGGTCATTATTACTATTAGGCCTTAGAATGAACCAACCCAATGAGTTCAAAGCTTTTATTAAGTCTAAATCTGCATACAGCTTAACATTATTGGAGGGACAGCTGAAATTGGATAACTGGTGGTATTCATAGTTTTCTCTGGAAATATGAAAAGGCTAATAAAGTAAAATTTAAGATGTGGGTAAAGGTTTCAGACAAAAACACAATAGCCCACTTCTCAAATATGTAGGCACTTTTAATGGTCTCCACTAGTACTATTCTATTGTTTTCTCATGTTCAACTTGAGAACTGAGATTTTAAGCTACGAAACGGCTTTAAACTTTGAAGTTAGGCCTAGGTATTTACCATAGGGACACTCAAACGTCCGTCAGTGTCCCCCCCCCCCCTAACGAAATAAGTAAGTCTGAAACCCTCCTCTTACGAAACAGCCAGCAACTTGAGCCAATTTTTATATTAGTTTATTTATAACTTTATACTAAGGAGTTAGTAGGCCTTCTATAGGTAATAAGTAGACCAGGTATATATAATTTTATATATGCCATCACTCAAATTATAACACACTTCCCTCCCTAGAATGGCTTTAGAAAGTATCCCCATCGCACAAAGCAACCATGACGGATCTTTGTATGATTTTTGCCATTTTTTAAACAAATAGAAATCAGGGCATAGATCTATATCTGCAAGAGGCTATGCCCCCGCTATGGGCATAGGACCATCTTAATTATTTTTCGCGTCGTCAAAACTAGCCAAACAAATTAACTGATGTGGGGACGAGAGGAAGTCGTCTCGTTCTGAGAAACAAGTTCGATAACCCTGTTTTCTCAATCTGACCGAATAGGCAAACAAACCTGTTATGACAAACATTGAGTCTGTTAATGTGACTGTCTGTTATGCTATGCGTACCGTTACTGTAGTACACAGTAGATCTACTTCTATTTCGTTTTGACATACATCTACATCTAGGCCTATACATTCTCATTATATAGCCACAAATAAAGGCTTTAAAAGCGTATTGCAAATTTAACTGTAAGAAAAGAACATCAGTAGTCAGTGTGACCTGAGTGTGAGTATTCATTTTCTGATTGTTCATTATTAAATTATTATCATTATTCTGTTATTTTGGAGCTGATTGAGCTTGAATTCATTCTCTCATTCATTTTTTCAGTCATTTAGTAAATTATTAAAATTAAGTGTAAAATTTATTTTTTAAAGAAGAAATCTAGAAAAAATCCTACATTCAGAAATCTAGTTCTAAATAAAAAAAAAAAACAAGTTAATAAAAAAAAGTCTAGTGACAATTTTTCAATTTAAGTAAGCGCAATTTCCTTAATTAATTTTTTGTGACCGAAGGAAAGGATATTTTTGAAAACTTTCTTCGGCAATATTGTTCAAAATTGTGGCAGGAATCGATTGGTAAATGTTTCAAGTCGCTAAGTGGTCTGGTTGCCGAGATATGGGCCAAAAACTGCATTTTTTTTTTTGAGGTTTTTTGGCTTTTCTGGGAAATCCAGGAAGGAATTCTGGGAATTTTTTCGGCCCACAATCATCCTCGGAACTTGCTTAACATATTTGCTTTGGAATTAGTCCTCGATATTGCTTCGTTGAGGAGGAGATACGACTTAAAGCTGCAGACACACATCGGACACACATCCATCCAGAACGAGTTAATAATCGCAATTGTCCGTATGGAAATTGCGCTAAAAAAATATATTCTAGAATAATTAATAATAGAAAATCTTTAATCTAGATCTTGATTTCTAGCAACAACACTGCTAATCCAAGTCCTAGCCCTAATTAATTTCTGACCATAAAACTAAACCTGAGATAACATTACTAATAACAACCCAGCACATCTATAATTTTTGGAAGGGTCTAATGTCAGAGATTGGTGATATCAATAATCAGTTAATCTTGCATTTAGATCTAGATCTATAAAGACTCTCTATATATTTTTTATAACTATCCAGGTATAGCACACCAACCACTGCACACAAAAAACATCAGTGCTATTAATTTATTTTGAATGTTTTAAGCCATTTTTTTGTATAAAACAATCACTACTGGCAAATGGTTAAGCAAAAGTTTATTAAATTGGTAAACTATCATTAAGGTACGTAAAATCTGCCAAAACTAATAATATTATGAAAGAAATGTGACTAATTAAATTTAGTGATTATTTAGCAATTTTATGAGGATTTATGTAAAAAAAATTACAAAAATATTTCATTCAAGTAGGCCTACTAAGTAGGGCCTACCTAGTTTTTTAAGTATTTTAGTTAAACTTTTTGTAATAAATAAAGATTAACCATGTTTTCATCAGACTCAAGCTTGCTTGGTAACTTAGTAGCTATCTTTTTTTTTGTAAATTATAGTTAGAAATTCAGGGGAAACCACTCTGTTTAAATATCAAATCTTGCTCTCAAATACTGCTGTTTAAAGTTAATTTCTGGATAATATTGATATATTGAGACATTGCATTTTGCATTTGGTTTATTATTCAGTTGTCTATTATATTTGACACAAAAATATCACAATATACTCATATACTCATATTAAAGCCAAATTAATTAGTCACCTTTTTGTCACATTTCTAGCTTTGGACAATTTTACCTAGATTACCATTAAATTAATTATTTAATTATTAAACCTGCACCTGGAAGACTCGCATTGGATATATCAATCTATAGTTATCTAAAGTTTAATAGTATTCTTTACTGACCTAACTAAAGACTAGAAACAAATGTTTAAAAAATATTCAATAACATGTAATTAAACATTAAAAAATACCTTTTTACATATTCTTTTAGATTTACTTGAACAATTTATTTTGTTTCAGAACAAATAATAGCTACTGCCAATATACTTAAAATAAATTGGATGATTTTAGGTACTGATGTCCTTTAATAGACTCTTCCATAAAATAGGTGTGTTGGGTTTGTAATAATATTGTAATCTCTACTAATTTTATGGTTAGAAATTAGGGTTAGTCGTATGGTAGGAACAGGGTTGGGGTTAGGGTTAGGGACAGGGTTAGCTATTGACATTAGCCAGCCATGTATGTGTTTAGTTAACTACCAGTAACCTAACACCCCTTTTTTAAAGAAAATTCTATTATCGGACACAGGTATAAAAATTCCCCCAGCATAACTTTGTATAGGTCTACAAATATTTTTACATTTGATGTACACATAATTTACATCTGCTTTGTTTTGTTTGTCCAGGTTTCTCTGACGCCTCTTCCTGTTACAACCTGAAGATGAGAGAAATGTGTGTGATATGCTGTGTGACAATGGTGCTGTTTCCATTGGTCAGCGCCTACACCTCATCGTTTTATACTGACAACAATCTTGGCCAATCTGTCCCTATAATACAAGTGAAACAAAAACAACAAGATGTACAACAGGTACAGTTTGTTTTTTGTTGAATTAAATTCAATTGTAATTTAACACCTTGTAGCAATAACATATCATGCTTATACGAAAAAGAACATTTAAAATTTAATTATATAGTGTTTTTATTAACACTTTGGCTTATTACTGAATTGTTTAATGATTTAGTATGTTACCAATATTTTAAAAGTGACCTTCTTTTAAACAAATTTGAACATTCATAACTAAATTAATTCATAACTAAGTTTCATAACTAAAGTGAAATGAAGCTAATAGTTTTTTATTTTTATCAGGAACTGTTAGAGTTAATGGGATTATACAGCAAGCCCAAATCCAAAGTCAATGAGAAAAATATTCAGTCTGCATCTAAATTTATGCAAGATTTGTATAAAAGTTTAAAGGAAGTGGATGGATATGACTATGTGGGAGATTCTCACATTCACATCAACAATCTTGTCAATGTTTCCTCACTTGGCCTGGACCCTGAGAAAGTAGAGGGCTCGGATGTCATTGTTAGCTTTATAAACAAAGGTTGGTACCACATATATGTGTATGTTATCTTTGATAACTTTATTAATAAACTTTGCACGGTATGTGTGGATCGGTGTGGCAGTATAAGTTTATTTAAAAAAGGTTGGTACAGTATATGTTTATCTGAGATTAGTTTTCTGAATAGTGGTTTGTGTATCTGATGTATTGTTAGCTTTATAAATGTATGTTTTCATTATATATGTGTGAGTCCTCTGATATCATAGTTTGCTTTATAAATAAAAGTTTGATACATTAGGTGTGTATGAATATCTGATGTAATTTATAGCTTTAAAAATAAAAGTTTTGCACAGTATTTATTTGTGAGTAGTGTAGGTGTGGGTAATGAATTTTCAAAAAAATATTTTCGGTTAGTGTTCTTTTACTACAGGATGTTGTGCTAATAAGAACTAAGATTTGTTGTTACACTGTTATATTTTGTCACATTTTCAAGGTCTGTTGTTTTCATTACTAAAATAAGCTACTTAGAAACTTGGCTTATTATTCCTAATAGATGGGGAGGTACATATTCGTCACAAGAAAGACAGCACTTTCTACTTTGACTTCACTGAAGTATCTATACGAGAACATTTAAAGGGAGCAGAGTTGCGTCTGTACAAGGAAGTCTCCCCAGCATTTTCTTCTGGCACATTTTCCTTGAACCTTTACTTCATTAAAGATGCTGCAGACATGGAGTAAGTGTTCATTTTAAACGTTTTAACTTTTTTATAAACTTGATGATATGGAACAAATATAGACTTTTTAGAACATTTTCCTTGAACCTTTACTTCATTAAAGATGCTGCAGACATGGAGTAAGTGCTCATTTTAAACCGGTTTAACTTTTTTATAAACTTGATGATATGGAACAAATATAGACTTTTTAGAACATTTTCCTTGAACCTTTACTTCATTAAAGATGCTGCAGACATGGAGTAAGTGCTCATTTTAAACCGGTTTAACTTTTTTATAAACTTGATGATATGGAACAAATATAGACTTTTTAGAACATTTTCCTTGAACCTTTACTTCATTAAAGATGCTGCAGACATGGAGTAAGTGTTCATTTTAAACTGGTTTTAACTTTTTTATAAACTTGATGATATGGAACAAATATAGACTTTTTAGAACATTTTCCTTGAACCTTTACTTCATTAAAGATGCTGCAGACATGGAGTAAGTGCTCATTTTAAACGTTTTAACTTTTTTATAAACTTGATGATATGGAACAAATATAGACTTTTTAGAACATTTTCCTTGAACCTTTACTTCATTAAAGATGCTGCAGACATGGAGTAAGTGTTCATTTTAAATGTTTTAACTTTTTTATAAACTTGATAATATGGAACAAATATAGACTTTTTAGAACATTTTCCTTGAACCTTTACTTCATTAAAGATGCTGCAGACATGGAGTAAGTGTTCATTTTAAACTGGTTTTAACTTTTTTTATAAACTTGATGATATGGAACAAATATAGACTTTTTAGAACATTTTCCTTGAACCTTTACTTCATTAAAGATGCTGCAGACATGGAGTAAGTGTTCATTTTAAACGTTTTAACTTTTTTATAAACTTGATGATATGGAACAAATATAGACTTTTTAGAACATTTTCCTTGAACCTTTACTTCATTAAAGATGCTGCAGACATGGAGTAAGTGTTCATTTTAAACTGGTTTTAACTTTTTTATAAACTTGATAATATGGAACAAATATAGACTTTTTAGAACATTTTCCTTGAACCTTTACTTCATTAAAGATGCTGCAGACATGGAGTAAGTGTTCATTTTAAACCGGTTTAACTTTTTTATAAACTTGATGATATGGAACATTTTAATATAGGCTTTTTAGAACATTTTTGCTACAATACAAATTTAAATAGGCTTTACTAATTTAAATGAAACAAAAGAGATTTTAAGAACATTTTTGCTACAATACAAATTAAAAAATGCTTTACTAATTAAAATGAAACAATAGAGATTTTTAAGAATATTTTTGCTACAATACAAATTAAAATAGACTTTACTAATTTAAATGAGTAAATTGTTAGAGAAAAGATTTTGGAACTAGAATCTACTCTCCGAGTGGACTGGGCAAAAACTGGATGGATAACATTGGATGCCACATCTGCAGCCAGGAACTGGACCTTATTCCCACACTCAAACCGTGGACTTCTACTTAAGGTTTTTGATAGTTCCGGTTAGTTTCAGTATTTTTATATAACTGTCGTCCATTATACATTGAATAAATATTTAATTTTTATCCCAAGGAAACTTTGTTACATATTTAATTAACATATAAGAGATTATTGAAATAGTGTAAGTAAAAGATATATTAACTAATTTATACCAGAAATAAAAAAAATAATAGAAAATATGTTTGTTTTTAAATTTTGCGATTGAATAGGCAAAGAACATGAGCCTAGAGACATTGGTATAGTGAGCAGAAGAGGCCCAATGGACAAGATGCCGTTCCTAGTTGGCTACATGGACATGGACACTGAGATCCTCTCTAGACGTGCCAGGTCCCTGCGTCAGGCAAGGTGGGCACAGAACAAAGATGATGTATCTTATGCTGACAACCCATTCACCCCTCACCAAGGTATGTTTTCTCTCTTCACCTGATACCTTTATTGTTTTGTCAAAATTGGTTTACCAAATGGACTATAATTAATTACAGAAATCAATTATTGATCAACATTCTCTTTTTTATCTGCATATTTTAATGAAATATTTTCATTATAAGGAAAAGATTTTTTTCTTTAAATAAAAAGAATTTTTAAAAATTTATTTATGTAGCTATTTCCCCTGTATCAAAATGTTGATAAATGAAACTTGATTGTAGCAGGTACACCAAGATACAAGTCCAACAGCAGCTGCCAGCGTCATAACCTATACATCAACTTTAGGGAAATTGGATTTGACAATGAGGTAAGCAATTTACAATTCTGTCGTTTCGTGAAAATAGATTGCCCACATGTTTCATTACTACATGTCATGTTTTGGTTGTTTTGCAAGTTTTAATTTAGCTATTTCATGATTTTGAAACAAAAAATAGGCCTGCTTTGGACAATTTTTAGCTGGATTTTCCAGGTTGTGACAAAAAAGTACTTTGCAGTACATAGTAAAAACAAGTTTTAAAATGTCTACTGAGGCATAATAACTTGAAATTTGCTCACTCCGGTATTCTATTTTGTGTGAGTTTTATAGAAGTAAAACATGCCTTTATTGTTAAATTAATTATTTATTAATGCCAGCATCTATTTTTTTTCTTATTTTTCTTATTTATTCCCCTTTCCTTTAAGCAAAATGGATTCATAAATAATATGTGAATATTTGTATTTTTTTCTTTTTTTTTTCCAGTTTCTAATTGCCCCAGATGGTTACTCTGCTTTCTTCTGTGAAGGGGATTGCTCCTTTCCTTTGGGCATCCACATGAACGCCACCAACCATGCCATTGTACAGACACTTGTTCACCTGATGACACCTCTAGAGGCCCCCAAGCCTTGCTGCGCCCCTACAAAGTTTGGCCCCATAACCTTGCTGTACTACGATGCCAACTCCAGTGTGGTGCTCAAGAGGTTTAAGGAGATGATAGTCAAGGCTTGTGGCTGCCTTTAAGTGTTCCTCTCAGATGGATGTCCCTGTAGGCTGTGACAGCTGATGGAAAACACAAGTTAGATAAGTAGCCTCCATACCAATGGTTTGTTTATTCCATTTCATGTTACAGCTACAAGTTTCACTAGTTTGTTATCAAGTGCCTTAACCATTTTATGTTGGCATTGTGGCCTTAGCAGTTACTCCAGTGTAGAGTACTAGAGTTTTATACATATTAATACTAGTCTTTGAAAGGGCTAAAAATCAAAGAAATATGGCATTTACTGAGTAAGTAGTAGCTTTTTGTATTGAAAAAAATATTTTGGTACACAAACAAATTTGATTCCCATATTGCAAACAAATCTTGCCTTTTTTTTTAAATAGAAAAACCCATCAGCATTACATATGGATTTTACAACATCTGTGCTTGTAAATATTTTAGCTTTAATTTTGTGCTATTTGTCCGAAATACATATCACGACAATGTAATGGGTTTATGTGTGAACATGGTTTAGAACGTAGTTTAGCTTATTTGCACCATGAAACTTACCACTGCTTACATACGGATTACATAAGTAATTAAACCACACTTCCTAACTAATGACGTAAGATTTTTACTTGAACTTTTGTACAACCCAACCAAAATAAGATCTGATTTTAACCACAGTTGATTTTAAATTTTAAAATATACTGCACAACTGTAATTTCATTTTATTAATTCTGTATACTTTCATGTTTAATATTTGTTTTAAAAACATTTTTACAAATTGTACATTTAAGTATTTTGTAGATTTATTACAAATATTGTATTATATTACATTTAACTTGAGTATAATTACAAATTTTATTTATAAATTTGTTCAGCTGTTGACAATAATCCACCTTAAGCTAAAAAAATTGTTTATTGTATAAGTACTTAACAATGTCTCTCTATATATTTATTTCTTGCCCAATCTAAGTGCTTCTAGACAGTAATGGGCCTTTGACTTACCTACCTTTATTTTTTTTAAGTTTATCTCATTCTATAATAATAACTATCCCAACTATGTAATATGCATTAAATTTTATGGATATTTTATAGGCATTGATTGGCTAAATGAGGTGTAAAATATATTTTTTTAATAAATGATATACTCTACCAAATGTATTTTTGAATTTATTAACTGTATCAAAAATGAGATCTGCCTTTGTATGCCCACAAAATTGTGCTTATTTAGGATTTACAAAATGGTTTACGTTAAATTTGCTGAACTTGTCAGCAAGTAGCCGATACAGAAAACTTCATTTTTGATCTAAGAAACATCCATATTCCTACATCTGAATGTAGAAAATTGTATTAGCTTTAATTTAGCTAATTAGTAATTAGAAAGTATTCATTGAGTAAATTATTTATATAATACTTTTTACACTAATGATTTTCAAATTTGTTCCAAGACTATTTTTAACAAGAACAAAATAAAGCAATCTGCCCATGACCTTTCAAACGATGTTTCTTTTAATTGTTTGCCTATTGCATTCTCCACACAGTTATTTGGTTGTGAAATGTATTTATTTTTTCTATTGAAAGTGAACCTATGCCAAAGAAATACCTGTTATGGGTTTTACAAATGTAGACATGTTGTACAATATATCTCTTGATAGCTTTTATAGTAACTCTACAATTCTTAACTATATTTTTTGGCTTCACAAGTGTTATTGTTTAAATAAAGCTCTTTTTAAAGTCATTTTAAATATTTTGCTGATTTTTTTAAAGAACATTGCTTAAAATTTCATCATGATTGACTTTATTGTATCAGTTGTTTTTAATTTACTTAAATTCAATCTGCTTTTGTTTGTCCCTTTTTAATATTTCATGTAAACAAAATATTGTGTTCAATTATACTTAAAAGTTCAGTAAATAAATTTTGTCTGAAGTTTTCTTATATAAGAAGAAAAACTTAAGGAATTGTGTAAATTTGGTTTCTTGTACAGAGTGTATATACTTGTTCTTAAGCTGACTAGTTCACAAAGCGCTCCTCCTCTCCCTCCCACCCACACCCTACTCACTGCAAACCATAGTATTGAAAACCCAATAAAGTTGTTATAATTATTCTGATGTCATCTGGGTACACATTAGCACAGGGGTAACTATAAAGTGGATTCAAAATATTTTGTCCTAGGTTTATATTCATTAACACCCCTCTCTCTTATTCCACCTCTCTCTCTCTCTCTCTCTCTTTCTCTCTCTCTCTCTCTTATTCAACCCCCCCCCCCCCCCATCTCATTCTCCCACCCCCAGCACTGCTTGAGAAAAAGTCAGCTAATGAATGAGTGTGTACAGTAATCAGCCACCCAATTTCTGATATATTTTTTACCTCTCACCGTTTACATACAATTTTTTTTTATTTTTAAAAAAAGAATATACAATCAAGAGTTCAATTAAAAGTTAAAATCTAAAATTTTAAATATAAAACTCAAAATATTCTTTTAATTTAAATCTACAAACTTTAGTGAAATCATTAGCTACTTTTTAAAAAAAATTTTGTTCTTATTCTTATTTTCAACAGATAAGCACATTTCTTTAGAGACTTAATGTTGCACTATAATAAAAATTCCATTAACTTCAAAATTTACATGGTTATTTATCTTCTTAAATGTTTAGCTGTGTAAGTACATTTTTTTATTTTTAGAAATTATTCAGGTTTTGGAGAGAGACATAGATAGTTGCATTGATGTTTTTTGTTTGTATAATTAAATTGTAGTAAAAAGCTAAAAAGTTTGAAATAACCTTAAAAGGAAAAACATCACCTGACATATGACCAAAAGTCTTTAAGGAAAAAAATTAATAATTAGTGCTTTGCTGTTTTAATTTGGGTAGGGACTTGAATTAATCATGTATTCTTGTAATTTTTCTGATGAAGGTTTTACATTGAAATATGCTTTTAGTAATTTTTACTGAAATTTTTAAATTGATCTTATTTTTTTGTATGGGTTGTGAATGTATAACACAAAACCAGTTTTTGTATTTTGTGATTTATTTTTAAAATCATTGTTTATTTAATCACCAACACAACAGATCTGTAAACAATACCTCAGTTCATCATTTTTTTGTTGTCTGTAGTTTTATTTTCGTAGAATAAAGTATTGACCAGCTTAGTATAGAGGTGTTTGTTGATTTTTGTTTCAATTTACAATACAGTAACATCAAATGAATAAAACAGTTTCTTAAGGGCATTATCAAATTATTAAAATAAATTGTTTAACCAAGGTCGCCTTAATATATTTGAACTGGAAATATAAATACTTTGTCCATTTCAAATATTATTTTTTATTACGTAAGTTTTGATCTAAACTTTACAGTTGCAACTTCTTGAAGTTCATTTTATTGTTTAAAAATTTACTGGTTTTTTATTACTCGTTTGGTATAGGAAGGTATGAACAACATAAAATCATGAATTAGAAGCGTTTTTTTTAACAAAATAATTAAAATGTCCATAAGGGCAATAGTTACAGAAAACGAAACGAGGACTCCATCTGGGCTAATCTCATGTCTATAAACACCATAGCTGCCACACCATAGGACATGAGTGCTGAAACTATCTCCAGTGCAAAAGCGTATCCAAATGTCCATTTCTGCTGGTCGAGTATGCCTTGTGGTGTGGGGTAATGGACTGCAAAAACTATTCCAGCGCTAATGATCAAAGATCCTGCAAACAAAAAAGAGGATAATTTTAAAACGAGTTTATTTCTCCTTTAAATGTTTAACCATAGATATTTATTGATTTATAGTTTAATAATTATTTTAAAAATTTAAACATCTTTAATATTAGAACATCCAACTTATAAAGTCTTAAATATGGGCCTTCATATAAAGGCATTTTTTTTTATTGTGATGCCATAATAAGGGGTAAAAATTATCAAAAAAGTGTGACAACATATAGAGACTACTCCCAAAGTTCAATCGACTAAATGTTTTGTTACTTGGGGGTTTTCATTGTTTTCCATCTATTTTACAAAAATGTTGGTCCCTACAGAACGGAATCTATATGTATAATTCTCTTCTTGGATACCCTAGAAAACACCAAGCTGTAAGCGCGTCTAGCAGCCCCCTCTCTTCCTCTCTAGGCATATCCCTACCACCCCCACCCCCACATGGTCTGGTGAGCTGTGGTTCACGCAAATGTTTACAATCGTAGAGCCGGATTTAGCGACGGCCAGTGGCGCAGGGGGGGGGGGGGGTTAGGGGGGGGTCATAACCCCCCCCATAGAGCCCTCGGTATAGATATATATAAAGTATGAGGGGGTGTAAATCGAAAGTTTGAGGGGGGGGGGTGCAAATCGAAAGTAGTAGGGGGGGTGCAAATCGAAAGTTTGTCCCCGGGTAAAAATTGGAAACCCCCCCCCCCCCCTTGAGACGATCCTGGCTACGCCACTGGCGACGGCTATTAGTGGCAGGTAATAATTTAGTTTGAAACGATTTTAAACTTAAGGGAGGTAACTAAGAGGAGGCTGCTTTCACGGGGGAGGGGGAGGGAAGGGGTTGGGGGAAATGAGGGGGGGGATTATCGTCCTTAATGACCTACTGATAGTGTTTTAAAGGAAATATTTTCAGTGGCAGCATTGGTACTGTCGAATTCACAAATTATGAATCACTGAAAAGTAGAAAATAAAACAAGTAAATTGCGGCATATGATACGCCGCGGGTCGGCTCGTAAAAATTATTTATTTTGACACAAATAACCAGACACCGCCCCCCCCCCCCCCACTCCACCACTGAAATGGCGTCACAACTAGACACTGATCTTAAAATTATATTTAATGCTGACAAAAATGTATGTGTATATATATATATATATATATATATATATATATATATATATATATATATATATATATATATATATATATATATATATATATATCTATAATAATAGTTTCGCTGTCTGTCAAGAACGCTCTGTCTGACAAGAACGCTCTAGAGAAAACACAAGCAAAATAAAAACATGCACAGTAATTCGAAAAACGAAATATGACGTCGACACATTTAGCGTAGAGTAGAACATAATCTCAAACCAGAGAGTGCACACAGTAATATGACGTCATTGATTATCGCGTAAACATTGAAAAAAAGGAAATGTTGTCTAATCTAAATGGTTTGCGTGAAGAGTTTCTTGCATACAATTCTTCGGGTAGGGGCGAAGCCCCACCCCCCGCGTAAGAACGTCTGAGCCCCCCCCCCCTCCCCAACTCAAAAGAAATTTCCTCATCGATACTCTATAATAAAATTACAGCCTAATTAATGTGTCTAATCTAAAAAGTGGTTTTCTTGCAATGGGAAGGTAGACATGTTTTTTTTTGGGGGGGGGGGGGTTGGGGGGGGGAGGGGTGGAGGGGTGGGGGGTGGTGTGTGGGGGGGGTGGGTTGGTTTCAGTGTTTCTTTCAGACTTTTTATCTCCCCGGAGAGGGGTGGGGGGTACTTGAAATTTTCGGGGGCGGGGGTAGAATATTCTGGGAGGGGGCGGACACTGGAAAAAGTATATAATTATATTTCGTTGAATGGGACGGTAGACATGTTTTTTTTTGGGGGGGGGGTGGGGGGGTGGGGGGGGCGGTGTGTGGAGGGGGTGGTGTGTGGGGGTGAGGGGTTGGGGTGGGGGTGGTGTGTGGGGGGGTGGGTTGGTTTTAGTTTAGAGAAAAGAGACAGCACTATCAACCTAGCGCCCGGTGTATCCTTCCTCAACGGGCCATTTTTCTCGTATATATATATAAATATATATATATATATATATATATATATATATATATATATATATATATATATATATATATATATTAAGAAATGCAAATCACGTGCTAAAACATTTCAACATTTCCTTTACCTATCCTCCCCCCCCCCCCCCCCCCAACAAATCATCACGAAATTCAGACCCTCTTTATTTAGTCTTTATTCCCCTACTCATATGACGTCATGCAAAGTGGAACAACCCATCACCCCCCACCTACCAGTTAAAACAGCCAGCAACAACACAATGTAAGGCGTGGTCCGCCGCCTCCTGACTGCTATAAATAGATTGTACACAGAGAGTGCCCCTAGGGTGAGTAGTTGGACCATGAGACCCAGCACGGCCAGTCCTTGTGTCGCTCTCAGAAATGCTGAGGAAACAAGAGCATTAGTCTAGATTGATTGTTAACATAGCAAGTATTCGTTCTTTATGTGAATATCCCGTCTCTTTTGTTTATATGTAGCCTGTGTTTCTACCAGACTTTTTTTCTCCGGGTGAGGGGGTGGGGGGGGGGGGTCTACGTCACACTTCAGTCTAACACCCCATTCGAAATCGCAATTTTTTTAAACCGATTATTTATTTATACAATTTTGACTAAGCTCAGTCGACATTAAGTCGGCCTATGTGGATCTATTTTTATGACATTAAAAAACAAACAACAGTGTGAAATAAAGGATAATGTTCTGTTTCAAACATTTTAAAATGCAAAAGTTTGTCGTCACAATTTATAAACCCTCCTCCCACTCGTCACAAATCGTCACAAGTTTGAACCCCCTGGGAGAGTGACGTCTTTTATGGATGACCTCTGCGTCATATATCCCATCCATCCTTGCCAACGTAGTGCAGAAGTCAGAACCTTAAGGTGTGTGACGTCAGGTGTGTGACGTCAGGTGTGTGACGTTAGGTGTGTGACGTCAGGTGTGAACGACCATTACAAATACTTGTATCCATTTTTTTTTAAATCTCATAAAATTAGAACAAAGCTGATTCTACGTGTTGCCTTAGTTACTGCTCATCCCCAATCTAATCCTAATCAGTGGCGTAGCCAGGTCGGGTGTCACCCGGTGCGGCACTTAATGGTGTCACCCCCCCCCCCCCAGAGTTGCGACCCTTCCCGGGGACAAACTTTCAAGTTTTCGATTTGCAACCCCCCCCCCCCTCAAACTTTTGATTTGCACCCCCCCCCCCCTCAAGTTTTTGATTTGCACCCCCCTCAAACTTTCGATTTGCACCCCCCCCCCCCTCAAGTTTTTCTCTATATATTTTGCTATTTTTTGCCTTGGTGTCACCCCCCTAAATGGTGTCACCCGGTGCGGTCCGCACCCCCGCCCCCCCCCCCCTCGCTACGCCCCTGATCTTAATTCCTAACCTTTCCCTCTTGTGTTTATAAACACTGCTACTAGTACATACAAAACTTCCTGGTACAGTTGAAGTTGACGCCAACTTTTCGTAGTTCTAACATATGATCTTCCTCACACCTCCGAATAAATCTATACAGAGTTTCTTCCAGGCTTCTCTCGAAGAAAGTCTACCGAAATGGAATTTATATAGAAAATATATACTTTTGACATTGTCCGCCCCCCCCCCCCCCCCCCCGAAAATTTAAAGTGCACCCCCGGAGAAAAAAAGTCTGGAAGAAACACTGAATCTACTACGCGTACTATTCTATACATTTCGGTGTTCGGAAGGGACGCTATCCATAAAGGGAAACAACTCTCAAGCCAAAAATACTGACCACAACTACTAATCAAATAGTTCTACAGAATAAAATCTGGCCACTTACGTTTCAACTTGTCCGAGTGATGCCCAGTTGACAAGGCCAGACACGTCCAGTCCTCATCAGTCGTGAATATGTTGTTGATGCTACACTCCACCCACAGGCCGGCATACGAGCTTCTATCGCCTGAGTTCATCAATACAACATATACAACATGATAGTAACTCTACAATAAAGAGCATTTAACACAGAGGCGTAGCGATGGGGGGGCAGGGGGGGTACATATGTCCCCGGGCGCCGACCTTAGGGGGCGCCAAAATGGGTTGTAAAAACAAATTAAAATGTCATCTTAGCTGCATTTTTGCATTTTAAATAGCTTAAGGGGGGTGGGGGGGTGCAAATCGAAAGTTTGAGGGGAGGTGCAAATCGAAAGTTGGGGGGGGGGTGCAAAATTGAAAGTTGGGCGCCGGCAAGGGGCTCTACGCCTCTTATTTAACACTTACCTAACCCTATAACAGTTGTTTTAAAGACCTGATTATCCAAAGGGAAAGAAGCAGTCCACCTGGAGATTGTATGGTTGACCTAGGTATATGTGGAGATTGTGTGGTTGACCTCGGTATATGTGGAGATTGTGTGGTTGACCAAGGCACATGTGGAGATTGTGTGGTTGACCAAGGTACATGTGGAGATTATGTGGTTGACCTAGGTACATGTGGAGATTGTGTGGTTGACCTAGCCACATGTGGAGATTGTGTGGTTGACCTCGGTGTATGTGGAGATTGTGTGGTTGACCTAGCCACAAGTGGAGATTGTGTGGTTGACCTAGCCACAAGTGGAGATTGTGTGGTTGACCTAGCCACAAGTGGAGATTATGTGGTTGATCTAGCCACAAGTGGAGATTGTGTGGTTGACCTAGCCACAAGTGGAGATTATGTGGTTGACCTAGCCACAAGTGGAGATTGTGTGGTTGACCTAGCCACAAGTGGAGATTATGTGTTTGACCTAGCCACAAGTGGAGATTGTGTGGTTGACTTAGCCACAAGTGGAGATTATGTGGTTGACCTAGCCACAAGTGGAGATTGTGTGGTTGACCTCGGTATATGTGGAGATTGTGTGGTTGTCCTAGCCACATGTGGAGATTGTGTGGTTGACCTAGCCACATGTGGAGATTGTGTGGTTGACCTAGCCACAAGTGGAGATTATGTGGTTGACCTAGGTATATGTGGAGATTGTGTGGTTGACCTCGGTATATGTGGAGATTGTGTGGTTGACCAAGGCACATGTGGAGATTGTGTGGTTGACCAAGGTGCATGTGGAGATTATGTGGTTGACCTAGGTACATGTGGAGATTGTGTGGTTGACCTAGCCACATGTGGGGATTGTGTGGTTGACCTCGGTGTATGTGGAGATTGTGTGGTTGACCTAGCCACAAGTGGAGATTGTGTGGTTGACCTAGGTATATGTGGAGATTGTGTGGTTGACCTAGCCACAAGTGGAGATTGTGTGGTTGACCTAGCCACAAGTGGAGATTATGTGGTTGACCTAGCCAAAAGTGGAGATTGTGTGGTTGACCTAGCCACAAGTGGAGATTATGTGGTTGACCTAGCCACAAGTGGAGATTGTGTGGTTGACCTAGCCACAAGTGGAGATTATGTGGTTGACCTAGCCACAAGTGGAGATTGTGTGGTTGACCTAGCCACAAGTGGAGATTATGTGGTTGACCTAGCCACAAGTGGAGATTGTGTGGTTGACCTAGCCACAAGTGGAGATTATGTGGTTGACCTAGCCACAAGTGGAGATTGTGTGGTTGACTTAGCCACAAGTGGAGATTATGTGGTTGACCTAGCCACAAGTGGAGATTGTGTGGTTGACCTCGGTATATGTGGAGATTGTGTGGTTGTCCTAGCCACATGTGGAGATTGTGTGGTTGACCTCGGTGTATGTGGAGATTGTGTGGTTGACCTAGCCACAAGTGGAGATTGTGTGGTTGACCTAGCCACAAGTGGAGATTGTGTGGTTGACCTAGCCACAAGTGGAGATTATGTGGTTGATCTAGCCACAAGTGGAGATTGTGTGGTTGACCTAGCCACAAGTGGAGATTATGTGGTTGACCTAGCCACAAGTGGAGATTGTGTGGTTGACCTAGCCACAAGTGGAGATTATGTGTTTGACCTAGCCACAAGTGGAGATTGTGTGGTTGACTTAGCCACAAGTGGAGATTATGTGGTTGACCTAGCCACAAGTGGAGATTGTGTGGTTGACCTCGGTATATGTGGAGATTGTGTGGTTGTCCTAGCCACATGTGGAGATTGTGTGGTTGACCTAGCCACATGTGGAGATTGTGTGGTTGACCTAGCCACAAGTGGAGATTATGTGGTTGACCTAGGTATATGTGGAGATTGTGTGGTTGACCTCGGTATATGTGGAGATTGTGTGGTTGACCAAGGCACATGTGGAGATTGTGTGGTTGACCAAGGTGCATGTGGAGATTATGTGGTTGACCTAGGTACATGTGGAGATTGTGTGGTTGACCTAGCCACATGTGGGGATTGTGTGGTTGACCTCGGTGTATGTGGAGATTGTGTGGTTGACCTAGCCACAAGTGGAGATTGTGTGGTTGACCTAGGTATATGTGGAGATTGTGTGGTTGACCTAGCCACAAGTGGAGATTGTGT